TGCTTTCTAACAGTAAAAATGCAGTGTCAGAGGGTTTTATTGTCCCAACGATTCTGGAGGAGTTTTTGTGACAGCAGTAGAGGTCTGATGAGAAGCGCCTGAGAGAACTGGGTGTGTTTAACACGGAGAAAAAGAAGTTCGGGGGGGCCTTAGAGTTCTCTACGATGACCTGAAAGGAGGTTGTAGCCAGGCGGGGGATGGCTTGTTCTCCAAGGGAACAAGCACTATGACAAGAGGAAAAGGCCTCAAGGTGCGCCAGGGGAGATTTCTAACGGATCTTAGGAAAAATTCCTTCACCAAAAAGCTTATCAAGTTTGGGAACAGACTGCCCAGGGAAAAGGCTAACTCCCCATCCTTGGAGGCATTTAAAAAGCCTGTTGATGTGTCGTTGGGGACATGGTTTATTGGTGGAATAGGCAATGTAAAGTTTACAGTTGGACTAAAGATCTCAAGGGTCTTTTCCAACCTCCATGACTCAGAGATTTAATTAATCTCAACCAGTTGAGTTGAGCTTAACTCCAACACTGGAATCAGGGCTTGGAATCCAACATCCTCGAGGGTCCCTGCGAACACGGATATTCCATGTGACTGCCACTGAAGAGCAGATGATAATAAATGCAAAAGAATGAAGAATGGAAGTTCTTGGAAGAAGATTAACTCCAAGGCAGCCTTAAGCATTACACCAGGGCTACTGGGAGTTGCTGAGCTGGGGTGGGGACGAGGGTGGGGCTGGCCTGGCTGTGATGTGATCTGGCTCTTGTGACATCACAGGGATTGTGTCACAATGGGGGCAGCTAGAGATGGCCCCAGAAGGTAACGCTGTCCCAGTCGAGCCTGGACAAGTGGTGAGTGCACACACACAGGGGCGAGGCTGCGCTGGGCAAGGGCCGGGGCCGAAACACTGCCCCTGGGGCTGGGCTCTCCCTCTGCATCCAGGGGCAATCCCTCACCAGAACACCTGGGGCCCGGAATGGTGCTGCTGCTGCTGGGGCAGTGGGACAGGCCTTGCTGCCTGCCAGCTGCCCTGGAGCCCTCTCCTTCCTGCTCCACATCCCCACTGCTCCCATCCGCACCGCCCTCACCTCTAGCTCCTTCCCTCTCTTTCAGCGCCACTCAACCCCTTCTCTCTCCTCCTGCAGGCCATGGCTGCGAAAATGTTTCTTTTCGTCCTTTTGCAAACCCTCATCCAGTACCCACAGATGGTGGGTGATGGGCTGGATGAGGCCACCCGTGCGCGCATGGAGCTGCGTGCAAAGCTCCTGGACAGGGAGATGACTCGGCTGCTGCAGGAGCTGGAGCAGAACAGCCTGGAGCGCAGTGCCAGGGCCTGGAGAGCCCTGCTCTGGGCTGCCTTGCAGCAGGAGCACTTCTGGGCTCTGGCTGTAGTCCTGGGCCTCCTCTTGTGGCTGTGGTTTGTCTGCCGGAGAGGGAGCCACCAGCCGGGCAACAATGGTGAGGAGGAGGAGGAAGAGGAAGACGGAGAAGACAATGAAGATGTCTGTGAAGAAGAAGAAGAAGAAGAAGAAGCAGCTCCTTTTGAGACTGCCTTGAGACGGGCTTTAGCGCACCCGGTAAAGTGGCCTGTTCAGGATCTGAAGAGAGGTTGCGAAGACACAACTGTCCTGATGGGACACTTCACATTTGTCTTTGGACACCTCTTTTCAGACGGTTCATACCCAGTGCCGCAACAAGCCATTGGGGTGGGCAGTGCCTTTGAAGGCTGGACTCCCTGGGAGGAGGATGTTGTGTACTGTGTCCTCGTACCCCTCACTCCTCCCCCGGGGCACACCTTCCATCTGGAGATGGACACTTCAGGGCGCATACCCGGCAGGAACTTCTTCATCCGCGTGGAGCCGGTGTGCACCTGCCCAAGGGAGCAGCAGGACGAGAACGTGCTGTGCTCCCTCCACCACCCAGAAGAAGAGCAGAGGAGGAATGAGGAGCCCAACTTTCTAAACACCCTCTGCACCGGCTCCTACCTCGATGTGGAGAAAACTGCCCGCTGGTTCTACCAGTTGGTGAGAGCGGCCTGGCCGGCTTTGCCTCAGTCACACAGTTGGCGATTAGTGCTGCTGCCCTCCAGCCGCTGCTGCAAATTCAAGGTGACCAGAGGCGGAGAGAGCCTGACAGTTGAGCTGCTCTTTGGGGTGCAAGTAGGCAATTCAGACATCTACGTGAGCAGTCAGCCTACAGAGGCCCTCTTCACCCCAAGCACAATGTGGCCTGAGACCTACGCCGTGGCAGAGATGAGGTTCTTCAGCCACATTGCCAATCAGGCTCCACGTGACAGCCAGCACCTCAAGTGCCTGCAGCTCTTGGCCCATGTTCTGGTGGGCATAGGCTTCTCCACTTATACGATGAAGACCATTGTGATGCACCTCCTGAACACCATGCCTCTGTCACTGTGGGGCAGGAGGCAAGTCCTGCGGCGGCTGGGGGATACCATGGAGTACCTGCGCGGCTCCCTGGAGGACAAACGCCTTGACCACTTTGTTGTGGGCAACCAGAGATTTCCTCAGGAGATTCTCTTGCCCCCGGATGTCAAAACCGCCGAGCCACCCAACCTCTTCCATCGCCTGGCGCAGGATCCGGCCGCCCACACCCAGGCTATGATGGAGTACCCAGAACTCAGAGATCGGATCGAAAGAATTTTCCTCTACGGCCAGTGAAAGAGGTCTTCACCTAGAGAGCTGTGCTTGTGGGGCTCACAGCTGGTCCAAGACAACCACCTCATACCACAAGGAAAAAGAGAGGAGGACGTGAGACAGAGAGAACAAAGAGAAAACCCTGTGCAGCAGCACTCCGCCATCAGCATTCACCTCTCAGCAGTCTGCCCGGCACAGCATCCAGTGATGGCCAGAGGGGCTACAAAGATGACTTTCATCCTCCTTTCCCCTCACATTCTCATGGCCATTGTGGCCATTTCAGATGGGCCCAGGAATTCTTTCTGGCAGCTCCAGCTGCTCAGGGATCAAGCGAGAGGCGTCGCTAACATTCCTAAACTGTATCTCTCCTTGTTCCCTGAAGGGACATCAGTAGGTCAGCATTGCACACACTGTGTGGGACCTGACCTGAAATTTTTTTTAATATATACTTTAGAATATTTTATTTATTACATATATTTTTAATTAATATTTCATACATATCTTGATATTTATTATAGCATATATATATATATATATATTAAACCTAATATTATAGTATTTTAATATATTAGTATAGCATTAATAAATCTCTCCCAGTGTTTCCCCCTGTCCCCTTAAGGGACACCTTCAGGTCAGCCTTGCACCAAGACTGTCTTCCCCAGACTCTGTTGGAGCTGACCTTAATTTTTTAATAGATAACTACGTAAGTTTATAATTTTTAGATATCTAGATAATATATACTGTAGGCAATTTATTTGATATAATATTATTAGTACATAAATATAGCACCAATAGATCTGTCCCGACACATAGTAATGCCCTGTAGTCACTGCATTTAGGACTGGAATCCAGAAACTGCTTTCCCCTGGCTTCAATAAAGAGTGCTATTCTAGAATCTGGATCGTGCAAGTTTGTATGGAACTCAACCAGGCCTGGGGACCCCTGGTGGTCTAGTGGTTAGGATGCGGCGCTCTCACCGCTGCAGCCCAGCTTCGATTCCCGGTCAGGGATACTCCCCCGGGCAGATGGAGCTCGTCAGCCCTGTAAGGCCATCCATCTATGCGAAGGTCACTCTAAACAAACCTACGTCCTGAGGACCTCACTGCCATTGTCCAAGCTCGCTTGGCCCTGGCAGATGAACCTTGGGATTAAAGGGTGGGCTCAGTTCAGCGCAGGCTGTGTCTCACCTAAAAAATCCATTGCCCAGGCTTGAAAGGTAAAAGACCTTTCCCAAAATCTTCGTTCGCGAAGACTGGCCATACAACCAGGCCTAGAGTCTTAGTAAATCACACCAGCTGTGAGTCTGTGCTCGTGAACAGTCACATTGAGCTCGACCTAACTGAGAGTGCTGAATGGCTTCTCATCCCAAATTAGGCCTCCTGCCACCCGGCCCCTCTGCTCATCAGATCACAGAATGCCTTGGGCTGGAAGGGACCTTAAAATTCACCTGGTTCCAACCCCCCTGCCATGGGCAGGCACACTTTCCAGTTGACCAGGTTTCTCCAAGCCCCAGCCCACCAGGCCTTTAACACTCTGTCATGGTTTGAGAGCCCCAAAATCCAATTCCCGAGTCCTAGCCCCCCTCCCACATCTCAACCTAGTGTGAGATGGGTTTTCCAGACACCACACGAGACTCAAAATGGGGGGAAGGGATTATATATTACCATGACTGTACAAATGAATATTACAATACATTACACACATAATCTCAACTATCTCTACCACGATAAAGCAGTATTTACAATGGATCAAATCTCTTCTTCCTCCAAATAGAAGTCCAGGAGGGAAGAAGGAAGAGATCCTTTCTACTTTCAGAACAGCAGTGTCTCTAGGCCAGCAGGCTCTCCTCTTTCATGCAGCAGCTGTGGCTGAATCTTTTATCATTACACACGAGGGAGGCCTCCAAGCCCCTCTC